AGCTGTCAGACTTGATTTACACTCCAGGGGACGGTAACCCAGAAAAGGTGGCACCGTTCACACAGAGGCGCCCATTGTACGGGATCAGTTATCATTTTATCACCTGCTTCATGGCACCTGAATGGGGGAACCAGCAGGAATCTCAATGGTTTTTGCGTCCCCGCGTTGCAGGGTCAGTCCTAGCCCCTTCAATGCTCATGTATATGTCAGGAAATGTGATCAGCTCACGTACCTACACACCGTATTGTGGGGGCAATGTCATTAAAGCTGAACGCCGGCCTTCCCTACAGTCTTGCACAGTTGAATCGGGTCCTCTCCTGGACTCAAATGGCTTCCTCTGATTCCACTGCACACTGTGAGCTTCTACAAGAAGAGAGGGAAGTGGTTGTCACAGGGCACATACAGCAATAAAAACACTATGACACCATACTAAAAATCAACCATCAACACTTAACCTTAACCCAACCCTCCCTAACCTTAAACGTAAGTCACCCCTTTAAGTATTAAGACTTAGGGTCCCTCTTACCCCCAAGCCCCAGCTGAACTCTTAGCACTTAGGGGTCTGTTAATAAGTAATTTGAAGAGCTGTAAATCTCTGTGAACGTTAGTTCTGTGCAAAAAATTATCATACAGGATTTATATAGCGGCGACATCAGGAAGACATTACAGTTACAATGCAAGACATGATGGTAAGGAGGGCCCTGCCCGTGAGAGCTTACAATCTAAAAGGAATATATATTATTATAATAATAATAATAATAATAATGTAATACTGCACTATGGCCACTTGATGGCGCTAATGAGCATAGGAAATAAGTATGCTGCTCAGCGCCATCTAGTGGCCATTGTGAAGTATTACATTATAACTTTTGATATGCTATTTGACTTGTAAAAAATGAAAAAACAAAACTAAGAATGTTTGGGTTTTTTTCTCGCATCCGTCCGCACAAAACGAATGTTCACAAAGATCTGAAGGGCACATGGATCTGGGAATTGTTTATTAATAGACCCCAAAATGTATATGTCTCAGTTTTGGATAGAGTGAGTTAGATACAGGGGGTGTTCCCACTGGCGAGAATTACCCCTCTATTTGTCCTGGTGACCACTGTTGTGAGACAGGAAGTAGGTGCAGATTTTACAGTTGTCGTGTTGTCAAGAGGTCATGGAAAATCTTACAATGGGGACAAATGTTTGGGTGGAAACTAAGAGGGGAATTACCCTCACTTTGAGGGTAACCAACATCCCACCACATGTGACCAATGTCATTGACCAAATATGGTCATATAAAGTCAATGATGTCACCAACGTCCCACCACGTGGCCATGTTAGGTCAAATATGGTGATGTGGCCCCATAAGATCAATGTTGTCACCTGCATCCTGTCACCAGCATCCCGCAACATGGCCATATTAGGTCAATGATGTCACCAGCATCCCCCCACATGACCATATTAGGTCAATGTAATTGACCAAATATGGCCACATAAGGTCAATGATGTCACCAGGAACCTGCCCCTTTTCTATTATGTGCAGCTATGGGGTGGGGAATGCCCTGGCTGCAGCTGATCAGGCTGGCACTGATAGCTTCCATGTGGGTTTCGGGCAAACTCAAGTTGGGACCGAACCTGAACTCATCCCTGTTGCTTCCTAGCCGCCCCACGTGACCCTCTTCTTCAGCTTGCGGAGTGACCCTCTTAGCCAACCCGCGTGACCCTCTTCATTGATGGGGTGGGTGGCGCCTGCAGGGTGATTGGCAGAGGCTTGTTCTCTGCAGCTAGCCAAGGAGATGAAGCTGGACATGTGGGGTGGCTAGCTGGGGAAAAGGAGCCGCTGTCATTCACCCTGCTGGTGCCACCACACCTATCAAAGAAGAGGGTCACATGGGTCAGCAAAGAGGGTCACATGGGTCAGCAAAGAGGGTCACATGGGTCAGCAAAGAGGGTCATGGGGTGGCTAGCTGGGGAAAGGAGACGCTGTCAATCACCCTGCTGGTGCCACCCCACCTATCAAAGAAGAGGGTCACATGGGTCAGCAAAGAGGGTCACATGGGTCAGCTAAGAGGGTCACATGGGTCAGCTAAGAGGGTCATGGGGTGGCTAGCTGGGGAAAGGAGACGCTGTCAATCACCCTGCTGGTACCACCCCATCCATCAAAGAAGAGGGTCACATGGGTCAGCTAATAGGGTCACATGGGTCAGCTAAGAGGGTCACATGTGGCATTTCACCAGCCGGGTGATTGACAGCGGGTCCTGACATCTGGAGGTAGCGTCATGGTCTTCCTCTTAGCCCCACCCACTGATCGCACACTGCGGCGTGGCGGAAGCTGAGGAAATCACATGACAACGATGTACTGCAGCCCCTGAAAAACGTATTACACAATATATTAACAATGGGATCTAAAGATTGTTATTTATTCTGCTTCTCAGATGACAGAACCGGTTACTATGGGTGTCCATTCACTTTAAAGGGGAAGGTCAGTCCCCTCCCCCATCCCATACCAGGAACCCCCCTCAATACAAGCCCCAGGCTTCTGCTTGTTGCCATGTGCTGACCGTGCGGCCCCCTTTTTTTGCATTGATGCCCACACATGATATAATCTGATTGGTCGATACGGGCAGCTCGGACAGCCCCCCTTTCGGGGCACTGTGATGAAATAGGCAGCCGGACCCCAATGAAGGTTTATATGGTGCAGAGGGAACAGGGAAGCCTGCGGTGATCCGCAAGCTGACGACACGGGCCAGAAATAGGAGAGCCGTACGAACGAGCAACAGCTGCCGACATAAAAATAACTGCACAATAAACAGCGCAAGCTGACATGAGACTGCCGGCGAATCCCGTCTCAGGGGCGAGAGCAAGAGCAAGTCAACGCATTCATAATGAGATTCCGCTCCAGGTTAGCGCTTGATAAAGCTTAACTCCGGGCATGAAAATATTATTTAAATATATTTCTCAACAGTCACAAAACATATAAATCCACTTTCTGTGCACCAAGTGACTTTGCAAACCCAGCTATTACCTTGTAACATGACATCATCACTGTGCTGCACTGAGCAGAGCTGTGGGAGGGGGCCAAGCAGGCCCCACCCACTACAGGCTGCCTGCAGAAAACGATAGTAGGGGCGGAGACAAAACCAGTCACTCTGCACTAGTAGAGAGCAGCAATGACCAGTCTTTATTACAGGAAGCGCCTCCCTCTATAGGCTGCCTGCATTCAACTACAAGAAGGGGGCGGTGACAAGACCAGTCACCCTGCACAAGGCGAGAGAACAGCAGTGAGCAATCCTTATTACAGGAGGGGGCGGAGACAAGACCAGTCACCCTGCACAAGGCGAGAGAACAGCAGTGAGTGGTCTTTATTACAGAAGCTCCAAGTCCACTGGATTACTGCACAGATCTGGAACAAATACGCAAAGCTCGCCAAGACTCAAGGAAGAATACACAGGGCAACGACCAGCTGCACAAGGAGCCAATCAGCTGTGCTGCATTGCAAGGAGCCATGCTGATAGGAGGAGAGAGCAGAGTAACAGAGAGATGAGCTCACCAGTTTGCAACAATAAATGTGAAATATTTCATATGTGGCCAAGAAAATATTTTTGTTGCAGACATAAAAGGAACCAGAAAACTAGAAACATACCATTTTCTTTTGTTATAGTTATTAGTTCCAATGGTTCCTACCTATAGGAGATAAGACAGTCTATGTACACAGCGCCCCCTGCTGCCTGCATCCTGAATATGTATACAGCGCCCTCTACCCTCCATCTAGCCTCATGACAGGTCCCGCTGATAAAGAAACGAGGCTTGAAACACAAACCTTTAGTTTTTTTTTTACCCGCACCAAGCCACATGATTAAAATAGCTGCCTTTGGCGCCTGCGTGTTTGTGTTACGAAGTTATGTGAATACGAAGGACGGCGGAACTGATACGAAATATTTTTCTATTACATATGACGAACAGAGGAGGTCGCTGCGGGTGAACCCTCGCAATAACTACACTGCCGCTGGGGTCCTTCATTCCACTGAAATAGCTGCCCTTCTACGCCTGATTGGTTTAATTGTGACAGGGTTGTATATTGTAAAAGAGAGGGCGTCAGGGGGCGGCATTAAGTGGTGTTATAAATCTAGTTGAACTAGAAGCGAATAAAAGTGTTCATTTTATGTGTTCAGGCAGTGTAAGGACAGCCGCCGTGGGGTCCTCAAGTGTCCGCCATACTGAAGGGTGACAGGAGTCGGGGTGACCTGAGGGATGCCGAGCGAAGTGGATAAAGATGTGTACCGGCAGCCACCTGCCCTGACCCCGGTCTACGAGAACAAATCTGGCCTGCCCAATGTGTTCGCCCTTATCACCAATGTCTTCACCTACGCCGTGGACAAGCCAGTCACCCTGTTCCATGGTGAGGGCACTCTGCTTCGCTCTACAGGCTGCTGTGGGCACTACAAGGCCCAGCATGCACTGCTCAGCCACAAGACCCAATGGTGGAACTGCAAGTCTCAGCATGACTGGACATTGGCATGACACTCTAAGTTCCAGCATGGATGGTCCTTGGCATACCGCTACAGGTTCCAGCTTGGCTGATTGCAGTGGCACCCCAAGTCCCAGCCGGTTGCTGTTGTTGGGCCCCCAGTCGTGGCTGGAGGCTGCCTTGCTGCCCCGGGTCCAGGTTGGCCCAGGTCCAGGCTGCTGGCTGGCCTGCGCCACACCAGGTTACTGTTATGGCACTACAGGTCCTAGCATGCCTTTTCAGTGGCTGGTATTGCACAACAAGTCCCAGCCTGTGGCCACCAGCTGCCATTGCACTACAAGACATATTTCACAGCAGCTATAGGAGGGCATGCTGGTATTTGTATTCCCACAGGACTTCATGATAGGACTTTCAGTTTCCTGAAAGCTAACATCAGACTTTGTGGACCCGCCATGATATCCTGGCACTTGTAGTTCTATATAGCAGCTGCAGGTAACGCACCCTCTTAGTACAGTGGGGGAGGGTGGACTACAAGTGTATGTGCATTACTTCACAAATCTTATGGGAAGTATAACAATTCCGTTGTATATGTCTCCAGTGTCCTTAGCTGGAGGGTTATTGCTCAGTACTTTTTATTTTGGCAAGCAACCTTGAAATGTGAAAATCCTTAAACTGGCCATCCAGGAAGAAGTAAAAGGGTCACTTGGCACCCTTCCTCCCTCCCCTGTAGCTTCTACTGACCTTTTCTGGCTCCATAGGTATGGGTAAGTATATGACTGCTTCCTGTGTGACAGCACTGGGTGTCCCCTGATTGGCCCAGTGCTGTCGCATGGGGCTAGGGAAGGAGTCCATAGCCCTTTGACAGGACAGTCTGGAGGTTTCAC